AACATTTTGACTTATAAGTTACAATGAAGTAGCTTGTGGTTGTTGGGTAAAACAAAGACACTAATCTTTTTTCAGTATGATAGGGCAGCCTAGACATTCCTATAAAATACTTTGATAAACTAGGCTTGTGTAAATCGTTTTTCCCATGGCAGCCAAACATACTTTTAAACAGCAAATACCTACTTAAAAGTGGGTCACTGTATTAAAATGTTACTTACATGACACTTATAATGTGATCAAATACTGCCAGTCACAAGTCAACATTGACAAGCTCTCGAAAAGAACCTTAAGACTTAAATCAGAGTAAATGAATTTTTAGCTGAAGTTCAACATGAGTGGCATATTGGCCATCAATGATCTGCTGTCAGAAAAACAGACAAGACATACACCCAGCTTCTCCCCTCCCTCATTCAGCCATTAGCAGGCATTTATACTCATGCTACCAAATGGAGATTATGAAGCCCAAGACATACAGCTATAGCTTACCTCCCAGCTGTCTAAGCTGTTGTTTTTTTAAAGGTTTTGGGCAGCCTTGCTATATAGCCCACTGGTCTGGTGTTTGCTATGTAGCTCATGCTGGCCTCAAATTTGGGATCCTCCTACCTCTGCCTCCCAAATGCTGAGACTATAGATGTGTGCCACACTCAGCTTCTGGCTAATTTCCTGCTCACAAGACAGGCAGCTCAGTAACGTCCAGCTTTCACTCACATTCAGACCCCAAAGCAAAAAGTGTTCCAAGACCTCATTTTGACCTGCTTCAAAGGTCCAAACTGAAAGAATGCTTAAGCACTGCACTTGCACCTTTACCTTTCTCTGGATCACATCTCTCTCCTGAAGTAATTTAAAACCTTTTACATTAATAGTATTCTCACACAGCAGTAAGATAGGGGCAGAAGCAGGCAATGCAAATTACTGAAGACAGTACAAAAAAGGGGCAAACTTCTATCTCAAACTTCATTTATGCAATAACGCATAAAGCCTTCGGCTTGGATTGGTGAACAGTAACCCACCCTACACTCATGTAGCTTCCTAAAATGTATACTAAAGCTATTGCTAACTTATCCTTGAACTTGTTACTGACTTAATGTTCTTACCATCTGTGGTGGTTCATTTTAAGAATATAACAAGTCCTACTATGTGCAAAGCTGCATGAAATTTTTGATAAAATCATCAGGTAAACTGATTCTACAAATATTTCCTCCATACCTACTCATTGCAGCATAAGAGTTGAAGAGTTTTGTTATTTATATAAAAAAATTTCTCCATCTGTGAACTTCTAAGTTTTAGGTTGGCTTCATTGTATTTTGATGAAAAGGACAAATCTGTCCAAAAGAAAACTGGGTAACTGCTTGGTGCAAATGTTGAGTAACCAAGCACATGGTCTTCACCCTAGCTCCTGGACACGTCGGTGCTTACGTGACCACACTGGATGGTATCAATTGCTATCATTATGTCTGCTTCCTGCACTATGGGTTTTTAATCTATTTTTAAAAAGAGGAGAAAAAGTTACGCCAAGTGAAGAGAGCCCTACGTGTTCTGTAACGGCTCTCCTAATTGCTGGCCACTTGATGAGCATAGGGAATGACTGCCACCAGGGTCTCCAGTAAGTCCTCCCATACAGGGAGAGTGTCACCCACTATAGAATAGTCAGCAGAACATGTTCCCAGAGTGAGCTGAGAAGTGAGAAGTACCTCCCCACTCATCTGTCAACTGAAGAGAGGTTGTACCTCAAGGTTGAAAAGTGCCAAGAATGTGTACACAGTTACATATTGTAGCAATTTTAGTAGTAAACCTCTTTAGGTTTTCTCCCAATTAAAAATGTTGATGAAATTATGCTAGCATCTGGGCCATTCAGTGTCAAATAGGATAGTACACTTCAGCTTTTGTTGCATTCCAAAGCATGTCTCAAGAAAGCAGTCTGCTAGCCAGAGCAATACTGATTCATCCACAAACAGCTCTTGCAAGGCACAAAACAAGTCTGGGTGACCTAAAGTTTCTAAATTATTTCACGACAATAAGTAATTGTGAGATTGTTTTGCCCAGTATTTTTCAACAGGGCCTTTAAAAAACAAAGTATTTGCTTTTTGACTAAAAGTGAATTGTTAGAGTAAGCTTGAATTTCACCTTCTAATCTGTTGTTGTATACAACACAGAACTTATCCCTTTGACCACTTATTTGGCATATGCAAGCTATGCAATAAACTAAAATGCATAACGAGGACAGTGCTTGTCTGTTATGTAAGCAGGGCCTACTTGCAAGGGGGTAGGTCAGGCTTTTTTGCATCATATCAAATTTAAAACAAAACACAAAGTTGCACTTACATAAATCAGACATACATGACAATTTTTTTGTATCCATGTAATTTAGGCACTGGACATGTAAATGTGATCTCCTTGGGGAAAAAAAAAGGTCAGTTTAAATTAAAATCATTAAAAAAAATTCAAACTGGTCCCATAACAACATGGTGAATGACTCAAATGGCTTTTTTAATGCTAGGAGAACAGCTCACCTTTCACTGGTGACAACACTGCTGATACAGGTAGAGTAAACAAGGTAAGAAGTGTAAGCACACAAACATATATATATAAAAATCGACCAGAAACCACAGGACATTTAAGCAATGTTTTCTTAAGTAGAACTATTTTTTAATACTTTAAATAGACTAAAATATTTGGTGTGGGTGGGGGAAGGAAATCAGTATTTCACAATTTTAACTTGAAAACCAGCTGTAAGAAAGCCGCAGCTCATTGTTTAATAGTAATGAAAAGGAATCACATCATTCTTCTGACAGTTACAAGAGGAAGGCTTACGAACACATCTAACGTCTCTGTCACAGTGCGCAGAGGATGCAGACACCAAAGACTACCAGTGGGTAACAAGAGCAGAGTGCACATCCATCACATTGCATTACAAAGTTGATGCCATCTTAGAAAACCCGCAGCTCCCAAGCTCCACGTTCTAGCTTGTAAGCACTTTGGGAGTAAGAGGACCTAAGACTCGAGAACAAACAGTTCAGCATTTGATAATTTCAATACAATGTTCACCAAGAAGAAATATAATACTGCATTCTGGCCTCTTGAGCAGGACAGACTGGGACATCAATAGAGGCCAGGATCTCAAAGGACATGTTTTCCCTCATGAGAAAAGAAATCCAAACGACACTCTGTTATTTACTGTGAAAAATTGAATTTCATCTGACGTACACTTACATATGCACAGATTCTGAAGAACTCAGCTATTTAGCTGCCCCTTCTCTGTTCCACTAAACAACCAGTTACATTATCTGGGTCAGTAAGCGTTAAGTCTCACCACCATGTTGATGCTTTTAGCTATTACTTGTTACAAAAATCCATGTCTCATCCACAGCAGTAAGTGACTGAAAGACATGTATCTCGAAAATGTTGATGGCCACAGAGCAGTTGAACATAGCAGCAACTACGGCCATGTTAGGAAATGAGGTCTAAATTGTAAGAGAACCTAAGGTGGTCAACTTTTCATGGCATACCTGTCTGAGAGTCCCACAGCAAGGAAACCCCTTGGTCCCAAGCATGCCAGGGCAGTTGGTCACCTTAAGAATATCACTCATTCCTTCCCTTACTGTTACTACAGAAAAGGATGTCCAAGAGCATAAGACTACTTTTAAGGACACAATCAGTCCCCAAAACATTTTAGTCCACTTAGCTAATGGCTAGTTCCTCCAAACTTGCTAAAAGATTATGAAGTCCAGAAATAACTTATTTACAGGTGTTAACTTTTTATGAATATTTCTAAGTTACCAAGCAAATTTCTGAGTTACCAAGGGTAGCACCTCAAAGCATACTCCTGAAACCTATTTTCACACAAATCTTCCAAAGGTTCTTCTGGCTTTGTCCAGTTATATAGTATTTTACTTATTATTTTTGAGATTTTCAGAGCTCAATGAATACTCAGTTTTGTATGTCTTTTTTCATATTTTTTTTTTCAGGTGAAAACATTCAATGCCAGCTATTACCCACATTCTTACGTCATATATTGAAAAGATGGCCAACTGGAGATATTTACAAAGACCCAGAATCACATTACTTTTTACTGTGCTCTACCAGAAGGGCTGGCCTTGGGGGAAAATGGCAAAAATAGTCATGTGAACATATTAATTTTGCCTCCAGTGCTGTGATCTGTTCAACGACTGTAGCCTTCCTTTCATCTTCATCACCACAAGTTTTCTTGTTTGCCCTCTTGTATAAAATGTTTAGTGCCACAGCATCTCTATTACTAATAAAAGGATACAAATATTTATGCTTCAAAAGTCAGTCAAAAAAGCAAAAAATGAAGCCTGAGATAAAGTTGGTCTGTAAGAAATGCCCAATTTGGGTTCTGCATTTTGCCAAGAAAGCTTTTTTAAAATTAAAAAATCATGCATATTACTTAATTGCTACAGTGTGATAATTATTTCTCCTGATTTAATCTGTGTGTGGATTAGTTACATAAACCATCAAATGACTACATTCTTCAGGACATTTATTCACCACAAAAGTACCCTATTCTTTCTCCCCACATTTCTTTTAGTTTGAACAACCCAAGAATGTGAATAATGAAAGAAGCAAACATATTTTCTTAGTGACTTACGGAGAAAAAAGGAAAATTTAGTGGAAGAACAAAGACTTCAATAAGCTTTCATTCCTACAGACAAATGCTAAGAACCAACTTTATGCTACAGTATTGTAAAGGGCAGAACTTAATATAGAACTAGAAATGTGGCGAGTTACCTAGTGACTAACACTAAAAAATAGCCAGGAACTTTACAGTCATAGGGAGAAAGAACAGTTGATTACGAAACAGAAAATATGTAGTATCTAAGTATTTTTAAAAGTTCACTTGTATCCTTAAATCAATATGTGATGGACTTCATTGTTCAACACTCATCTTTAATTAGAAATAGAAAGCAAACTACCATATCCCATCCAAAAAGAGAAAACTGCAAGTTTTGGGTAAGAGCTGGGTTTTGTTTTTGTTTTTGGGAAATCCATTTCTGTTGAGCTCGGCTAAGAAAAATCTCGTCTGAAACACCTTCTTTTATCACTAGATACAGGAGAACTTGACCTTACAGTGGTTACTTCCTAGGTATGTTAAGCAGCATTCTTATGGGGAAAGAGAAAGGAACTAAAGTGGAGCACATGCTAACTTTAAAAAAAAAAAAAAAAGTTAACCCTAAGTTAGTACATTCCAGAGACCACGAAATGAGTAATAACCTAGTGAAGGGCTATATGGCAGAGCTTTTCCTGCTGCTGACGAATTTGCTTATGATTCTTGTCAAGATGGCTAAAAATGGTGTACTAACTGAATAGCCAAATTAGGACTCTGCAAGATTTAAAAAAAAAAAAATTACACTGATTGTCATGAAAGGAAAATGTCTGAAAGCAAATTAGTAACTTTTTACTGAGATCTGACATTTAAACAACAGAATAATTCACGACTGTTAAAATGACCCCAACTGTTAGTTTTTCTGAGTGTATATGTGCATATAAACTCATATCCACCACCACGTACTTTCCTACTAAAATGTTTGAGGCAGTTCTGTTATCAAGTTAGCTGCAATATCCAAGATAAAACAGTTCGTATTCAAGAAATTACACGAGACCAGTTCTTACAAAGGCTATCATGAAACTATCTAGTACAGCTCACATTTGCTGGCTGAGGCTCAAAACACAGGAATTCCACCCCAGGAGATAATTTGTCCCTCAATCTTCTCCCCCAAAAACAAAAGGTAGTTTGAACAAACAAGATATTCACAAAAACTTGCAAAGGTAAAAAAGGAACTCAATGGCAGGATTCTGACATCTGGAGACTGTGTATCATTATCATCTTCATTGTATTAAATACAAAATATCCAATATGCCCCAAGTTGGACTACAGCTGCTATTTTAGGGAAAATACTGGCTCCAATAACCAGAAAATTTCATAAAAAATATAGCTTAAGATCTGATAATCTGCTACTTAACAATCACAAAGACATTTAACTGGATAGAATTCTGAAGCCATCTGTAAAATTAAAGGGGTAGACCAATGAACAATACTGACTTTCCTAGTAAAGAAGTGAGGACATGGTGTACAAAAAGCACCTCCTTTTTGGGTAACAGTAAGGTTCAAAAGGGAGAGACATTCTGATGTATACAAATAGAACATGGGTGACAGAGGAAAGGGCAGCTAGCAGGTACCACTTGGATTATATTGTCAGGAGAAGAAAAAAATTTCAAAAATCCAGTTGAGGAATACAAAGGATTCAGCAAAGTAAAACACATGAAGGTAAGGAAAATGGGAAATAATTTGATATATCTAAACAGCAATGCCTTAGATCAGAGTAAGATGCTTCTCCACAGATTACTGATTTATCTAAAGAGATACTTGGTGAAAAGGACTGGAGGCATGGCTCAAGTGGTAGAGCATCTGTCTGAAGAGATGCTTGGGGAAATCAATGTCATGGGGTGGGGGGGCACAAATGGGCAAATTGGAATGTTCCACTATTATAGCAAAGACTACACACAAACAGATTTTAAGTACAGTGAAGATTGTCTTCTGTTATTTTAAATCGCACTATCAACCCATCTTACTCCTAGATGAAGAGGATGTCTAATACAGAATAAATATTCCAAGTATTTAGTAATTTTTTAAAAAACAACAGATTTTAAAGGTATATATGGACAGCTGTTAGAAGAGGTAGAGAAACCAACTGGGTATATACTTTTTTATTGGATTTTAACTAGCAAGAGATTAGACTGATTGTTTTTCACTTTCAAAGTCTTTAAGTCATGATGAAGTTGACAACAAAGGCACAAATGAAGTGAAATTAAAATAATTTTTAAAAAGGAGACAATCTGACAATGTTTAAAAGGCAGATGAATGAAACAAAACTGCATATGATTTAAGATAAAAAATTTAACTAGATGTTAAATAATCTGCAAATATACTTAGTATACAGAGTAACAGTACAGAATTAGATTTAGCTTTCCAGAAAAATTAGGCAGATTTACTTTCTGGCAAAGCGACAGGTCCTGAGAGCAACAGTAAACCCCCACAGGTCTAAACCCTGATTGAGGGCAAGGACCGTATGCTAGGCATCATTTTATTACTCGACATCTATCACAGTGACTGGGTAAACAACAGGCATCAATATGTGTTCACTGACTGAATGTACACCATAATGTATAGTCAGCATAATTGGTATGGTTCAGACCTTATCAGGAAAGCTTCTTTAAGTGGGATGAAATGAGCACAACTTAGTAGTACTCCCAAAGACTGGCCTAAATTCAATTATATTTTCTAATAAGTTCTAATGACTTCTCAAACTATTTTTAAAAAGCAATGAAACTTTTTTTTTCTTCAGAAAAAAACTTCAACATAAAATAAGCTGCCATTTATTGGACCAAAGTCGGTGGAGACTCCATCAGCCACCAAGCCCTAGGCCAGCCCTGCAGTGCCTCTGTAGGGTCTTTGAGAAAACACCAGACAGCCAGCATAGCCATTCAGTTCTGAGGGTGCTTCACAAACAACACTGACAATACTGTGGAGAGTAAATTCTATATAATATTGCTAACTAAATCAGGACAAAATTCAACAGAGAGGAAACTCAATCAGTTGGAATAAAAAAACACCACTATAAGGGGGAGGGATAAACAAAAGCTAGGCCACAGTTGAAAAAAACAGAATGAAAAAGAGTATCTCATTGAAATGCAAATATGATCATTAAACATGTTCACAGAAAGTAATCACTGCCATGATAAAACTGACTGTTCAATACAAAAGGTGTTTTCAAAGAGCTCAGTCCCAGTTTCATATTGAATAGAAAAATCCCCCTGAATTGTGGAGATGTGCCCTATGGTTGAAATGGCACAGCTAGCATCACTTCACCTGACATGTCAATACAAGATTAACTGCTAGCCACGCCTACCACTTCCAAGGTTGTTCTCCGCCACAGAACTGTACCCTAACATCAGGTACAAGTACATCAAACCTTCCAACGAAGGGCAGAGGTTCCACTGGTATCTCTAGCAGGCCTGACAATGGTAACATCTGGAATACTTACTCTAATCACAAGACTGGTAGTAGAAGTAATAATTAGTGGGTCACAGGAAGTCTGGAAACAAACAGCAGGTCACTAGTTGGTGAAAATTTGCTTAAGAAAGGGTTGTTAAATTAAGTGGTATTGACCTGGTGCAAGTAAGAAATTTTTATAGCAAAGGTTTGAAGAAGATGATGTATTAGTGAGGATGACACGAAGCAGTCTATCACAAAATAAGGCCACCTTCAACATATTATAAACTGCAGAACCATTCTGATCGTCAAGTCTGTATCTGTGTAGAGGTTTCTGTGTAAAGCATGACCACCTAAGAGTGAGTTGCCTTTAGCATGAGCCTTCATGCTTGATGCTGTTCCCTTCGCCAGTAGTGCTCATCTCCCTTGGCTCTTCACATGGCTTGCTCCTTCTATGCCAGGCGTTAGCTCAAGCATCATGTCCTCAGAGGCCTTCTTGATGTCCCACCTGAAGCATCCCATCTGCTATTCTCTAGACAGTACCCTGTTATCTCCTTCATAAACACTTAAGATGATTACAGGTTACATCAACTGCTGTCTCAGCAAAGGCAGGAACTGGAGCTGTCTTGTTCACCTTTACCCAAAGGCTAAGAAAGTTCCTGGCACATAACAGGTGAACAATAAATATTTGTTGGATGAATAAAAAATTATTATACCAAATTTACATGAACACACACACATATATACACACAAATATAGGAAAATGGGGAATATCCGATAGAAAATAACCAAATGCTCAAAGTATCGAAAATGATACCTGTACATATAGGTGAATGTGGTTTCAAAGAACAAGTACCAAAGGTATCTATCTCCAAAAATATGAAAATTCACGAAAAGGAGATTAGGAGTGGTTATTTTCCATTTCTACTGAGATGCAAACAAGAAGATATGTTTACACTGCAATGAGTCAACATTAGACATAAGTATCTGCTGCAGAACAGACTACCAACAGAGCTGCTGGAATCTCTCACTGCAGAGCAAAGTATGGTCAACCACATACCCAGGATTAGTTAAGAACAGGTCAGACCGCAGGTAATTATAAGCTAAAAAACCTGCTAAGCGACTTCTTTCCCAATCTTTAAAATTCTAAGTTCATAATTATGTAAAATAACATTCAATTTATAAATTGAATACAACATACTTTAAAAATAGATGGCCCTTATCTGCTGATCATACCTCAGCATCACTTCGCTAGATATTATGCAGAAGCAATTACATTTACAAAAGGTCCGTTTCAATAATACAACCTGGTAACTAAGTCAAATGAAGCTGCTCAAATCAAAGAGCAGAAAATCTGCTGCTGAAATATTTTAAAATACCTTTTAAAAAGGGGTATTTTATTACTAGATTGGCTGTTTAAAAAGGATAAATATACTGAAATACTTCTAGCATATCCCTGAAAACAATTATACTGCCACTTGTGCATTTTTTATGAAGTGGAAGGTTAACTCAATAGACTGCTGGGTTATATAAGTCAATTATTATCTGTTGAAATCTGGTTGTAAGTCAAAAGGACTTATGCCATATGAACTTTATAACCCAGAATTTACTGGCGGCAGCAGTTACCAGTGCAATGATGTCACGCGGCACTGTTTTGGTATCAGAACAAAAGCGGGATGAAGAAAAGAGGCTGGGAAAGGTTTTCAGTAAGGTTTCCTCATAATGAGATTTAGCAGTAAATAAACACAAAAAGAGTGACTGTTAAGCTCCACTGAACACATTAAGGTCAAGGATTTCAAAAGTTAATCCATTTTCTTCCCCCAAGAGTTTATTTTTGGTAAAAGGCAGAAAAATTAGTTTTTCTACAAGGAAAATCTGCTTCTAAATGATAATTTGAAAATCTTGATATATATATTATATATTAAAAAAGACACACAAAAATAACGGAGAAGTGGGAATAACAGATTAGGTACTGTAACTTTATAAAGGCTTGCCTAGGTCGAGAAGCAGCGCACGCGCACACACACACACACACACACGCACACGCACACATCTCATTTATGCAAACTAAAATGTAGATAAACAGCACAATACTGCAATACTGGATCATGATACATTACCTGTACACATAACTACTACTGTCATTAATAAACCTTTGGGACACTCAGTCTTATGCCCAACAAGACATCATTAAGTCTTTAAATCTTCTCTTCCCCCTTTTTGGGAGGGCATTTCTAGACACTAATTTTCCCATCTAATATTCAAATATAGGAAACAGATTCCACAAGGTGCTTTAATTGATGAGACCTCAAGTGCTGTTTTCTCTTTCGAATTTTTGGATAGCAAACAGTCCATGGGGACCATACACAAATACTATGACAGAAGAATTGTTACATTAAGTCTTTTGATGGGACTTGACTGGTGAAGCATTACGACATGCTTGAGCAACGCACTGAAGGGGATCCCATCTGAGTTAATACTTTGTCCAACCACTGTAGAGGTCCATTCAGATGAAGTTCAATCCAGCAAGGAGTACTTGTTACTGTCTGCCTTCTGTTTGAAAGAGTACAAAAAATAAAAATAAATTATGAAATTAAAGGTTGCATATACTAAAATCTAGTTTCTTTTGAACAATTACTAATTTTGTATATCTGATTATTTTGAAAAAGTACTGATCTTCTAAGTCAAATTACTCCAATGAGTTCTATCTTAAAGATTTATAAAAACATTCTTTTCTCCTCAAATTAAAATTAGTATGTTAACATTATTATTTAACCATAACCTAAAATGGGACAGCTCTGAGAGAAAAAGTAGGCAGTATTAACAGTCAGGGCAGTGGGAGAGATGTAAGTAGGAAGACTGTCCCAAGCAAACTCAGACATATGGTCACCCCACTTGTTTGACCACAGAACAGACACTCAAATGTCAAATGGAGTCTGAATGGAACAGGTTTCAAATGTAGAGTATATCAAAACAAAACAGAATTTTGACCTAAGCTAAATCCTTACCACCGAATATTAGGACTAGAGTTGAACTTTTCCTTACAGAGTCAGTGAACATTTCCTTTAGCAACATCTTTCAGGTTTCTGATTAAAATACCACCACCATCTAGCACTTAGACAAAGAGACTACTCCATGCCATCTTGTTATTCCTAAGCACTAATTTTAGTTTGATCTTATTTGCTATATAGACTAAGTAAATAAATGTACTTTTGTTTCTTCAGCATCTTGCCTTTCAAACATTAGGAAAGTCCATCCATTATCAACTCATCTCAAACGAATAACACATGTCCAATATAGTTTAAAATTGTATTTCTAAGGGCGTGATGTTCTGTAGCAGAGGATATCAGCATCCCACTATATCTTTCAGATTTTCAGTGTGCTCTAGACAATTTTCACATGCAGGTACCTGAATTTCTATGCCTGAGAACTGCTCTGTTACACCCATATGTACAGAAGGCTAGCAGTGCCAGCATTCTGTATTATTAATGTCGGCTGACATAATAATAATGTCGGGTAACAGAAAAGAAGGGAGACTTACTCAACTGGTCTCAGCTTATTTGTACATCCTTATTTTTCTCTACTCTAAGCTAAATGCAATTCTACTATCAGGATTACAATTTCCCACCCACACATTCCTATCTATTGGAATCCAATGCATCTTTTAGAGCCTATATCATTTCCCATCTCTACTAGGAAGCCTTCCCCAGGTTGTAAGTGAAAACATTTCTACTTTTATGCACTGACACACCCATTAAATATACCCCTTTTATAGTAGCTAGCACTTTGCATTATGTCAAAATGCACATTTTAATTCTATCTTCTATAAAGCCAGCACAGAAATTGGATAGTGTGGAATCCAGAAGCCTTCAACTTTCTTTTATTATTTTACATAAAGATCTGCTGACCCCACAACTTCAATGAAAATAGATCTATAAATGAACTCTAGAACATGCAAAGAAATGGAAAAAAACAATTACTTTGCAGAAATTTAAGAACTGAATATGTGTATTTTTCATACCGATATTCTGCTCCCCACCCTTTCACAAAACTCATTCTTATGGTGCACATTCTAGTTAGCTGATACACGGCCTCAAAACCCTGATTAACAGACTGAGCCAGAAGAGCAGCAAATTCCTGGTTGTTAAAGATCTTCAGGTTACAGCCTAGGATTGAAAAAAAGTGAAAGAAACTGTGAAAACAGGATCATGATTAGAAAACAACTCTAAAGGGCTGCAGGGCATGCAAATCAGTTCCTGACTCCCGAGGTGACTCGCAACTAGATGAACTAAGCAATTGATGCAAGAGGTTATTTACATCATTGAGCTCATACCTGGTGGAATTTTACACACTGTTGCAGGGTGCCAGCCGTACCTCTGATTACAATTGGGGCTCTGCACAAAGATTGCACTGTCACTTAGGCACTCAGCAAAAACTTCCCCACCTATGTAATATAAGCGCACTCCTCTTCCTAAAACAAAATACATATGTGGTTAGTTTTGAAACACTTACTACTTCAGTGTGACTTTGGGAAAGGCTTCTTGGAGGAAAACTAATGTAAAGAATTTCCATCACTTTCCACATCTATCCTTTTTTGAAATCTAAATCTGAAATACACCACTGTACATTTTTCTAACAATGATTCTGTTGATTTTTAAAATATGTGCTAATTAAAAATATTTAAGCTATGTAAAGAAGTACATGGAAAGTCAGATAGCTTCACACAAATTATGTGTCATTTTCAAATTAACTTTAAAAAAGGAGGACTACAGTTCAGGCTGGCTTGGGCAAAAAGCAAGACCCTACCTCCACAACAACCAGAGCAAAATGGGCTAGAGGCATGGCTCAAGTGGTATCAAGTGTGAAGCCCTGGGTTTAGTACTTCTTTCAGAAACTGACCAATCAAAAGACATACATGAAAAAAACTTAAAGGATTTAAAAAAACAAAAGAAACAACAAAAAACCCAGAAACACCACTGAGAGGCAGAGTTCTGTTCTGGCACCTGAGAGTTGACCCTGGTAAGTAAACATCTTGTTACTCAATTGCACACTGGATTAAGGGATTTTTCAGATGTAACTAAAGTAGAAAATCAGCTGACCTTAAGAAAAGGAGATTATCTTTGTGCTGCAGCAAGAGAAAACTAGTAAGACAACCAACAAGCCAGATATAACAGATAAACAAAGGCTGTTATAATATTCTCTTAAGACTGAAATATTTGTAAAAAAACAACCAATCATGTACTTGGCAATCAGGAAATCAAAGTACAAAAAGTACATTTTTTCAGGCTATGTTCTCTGATCAAAACCATATGATAAAACTAGAATTCAATCTAAAATTACAGCAACCTATGATTTTGTTTAGAGACATGAATAGGATAGAGAAAGCTCTGTTTATGCAAATCCCCAATTAAAACACAAAAACACAGGAAATTGTATCGGGGCTATAAAAAAAATTTAAAAACACAAAAGCAGAAAATTAACAACTGGGTAGAGCATGGATCAAGTGGTAAAGTGCATGCAGGGGACCCTGGGTTTGATCCCCAGTACAAGGAGGGAAGTACAAGAGGTAAGTCACCATCATTTTATAGTATCAAAATTACACTTTGATACTCAGCATTATTTTTCACAGAGGTAATGGTAAATTCAAAACCAGAAGCTACCTTGTTACAAGAAGTCACTCTGAGGTGATGAGAATGATGCCCAGTTATTAGTCTCTCAAAACTTCTTTAAAAATCTCATTGTAAAAACAAATGCCAAGGATCCCAAAGGGTTTTGGATTATATTTATGGAAACTTAAATATGAAAATTAAATACTAGAACCGAGACTGAAAAAGTATAAATTCATTTAAAAAAATCACAATAGCCTATTACTTATTAATGTAAATAATGTGTTTATGAAAAAGTAAAAAATTTTTTTCCAATGTAAAAAAAAATTGAGGAAGTGGCAGTGTTTCAGTTTCAAGTTTCTTTAATGTCTGTCATAACAGAAGAACAGGATTCTTATATCACCTCTACATTTCATCTTGTACACAACCATATACCACACAGTCACTGCATACCTTGGAGAAAATGAGTGAACATGGCAAATAGCGTTATAGTACCATTAAGGAAAAGTCTCATCTCACAAACTTACTGAAAGGGTTTCTGGGACTGCCAGATTTGTAGGACAAATTATTTTGAGATTTTCTGAATTATATTGTCAGTTCTTGTTTTAGGTATGTGGCCTCAGATTAATAGTGAGTAAATCTGATTCATGAACTCAATTGAAGGGAAAAAAGTCAAAAGATATAAACTGAAAAAAAAAAATTCCTGACTGTAAAAATCAAAACTCCAAAATCTGAACCTGCTAATTTATAAATATATTTATTGACGGACTTTCTACTATCAAGGATGTTGGATACATAGTAAGTCTGAGAAAAGACCTTGCAGATTGAAGAAGCACCAGGATCTATGAGAGCAGTGAGGCTGTGCACTTAACTATAACAGCATTTAGCTGAGGGAAGGCTGGGTTTTTTATACACAAGCCACATTATCAGTATATTGCATAGGTTTCTCACACAAGGAAAATAAAACATACCTATATGTCTTCTGTCATTTCTACTGTAGCATTTCGGTTAACGTTGGAGAGCAAACCTAGGCAGAACCTCTCTGAATTTGATGGATCCGTAAAGCCATCTACAGTGAGTGAGGGCTGTGATGCATGGAAGGTCTCTCCAACCCTCTGGTTTAATTCATAATAAGCTATTGAACACCAAAATGCAGGTTCTGAGTAGGTAACTGGCTGCAAATCTGGGGGGGAAAAAAGTACAAGGAAATGGTGAACAATTCAAGATGTAAACACATTGAATATCATTATCTTTACATGCTCTATACAGCAGACACAGGCAACAGTTCAGGAAGGAGATCTAATATCTCTATCAGTTTTCACAGATCATACCAGATTTTCAAATTTCCCCCATCTCATTAAATACCACTTTATTTTGGATTATTTGTCTTATCGGTAGTTTCAGTCTAGTTCCTGGTCAAATACAAAACAACCATAGACAAAAGTAAGTCAACTTGCCACACTAAGATGCACATCCAAGATGCACCATGAAGGTAATTTTTGGTTAGGATAAAAGTATAAAATTGGAGCAAAGATTAATGGATCAAAAACTGTAAAAAAAAGTGTCATAATAAAAGGATACAAAATATGACCTTTTTTAAACATTTGTCTGTTTTGACTTGGTGAGTTACCCTAGCTACAAAAAAATAGAAAACTCATGCATATATAAGAACCAGGAAGTAGCAAATCACAAAGAGTATGCAGGTTGAAATAGAATATGGAACCGAGACTACTTGTTTCACAGGAAAATGAGGATTGCTTGTATTTAACTCCTGCAATTTAAACTGAAACATATCCCAAAGAATATTATAAAGGATCTAAAAAAAAAAAACCTGACAGCTTTATAGAATAAATTCCAAACATGAAGACACTGAAGAAAAATTATGAACCACCAAGATTCATCATCAGGACCCAAAACAAACACACACACACACACACACACACACACACATATGTAAATCTCCCATAGCATGTATATACATTTGTGTGATGTGTATGTATGTGGCCATATATACACATACCTCTTACATTAACTGCCACAGCACTATATTAATAATCAGAAACATACCCATAGACGTGTATCCACATTAGGTTATATGATTTTTCATGAATAAAGAACATGCATTCAGTGATTTTAAAAGATTATGTCTTATACACTCATGAGTGCCAGTAAAACACTTTTAGTAATTTTGAAACACAATATCAATCTTTTTTTAAAAGCCCTGATTAAACAACTGTGTAATGTGATTTGTTGGTATTCCTTTCTCATACACACAACAACTAATTTTCAGAGAAGCCTTTTCTTAAGTAGGAACCATGAAAAAACAGTGTGAAGTATTTGCACCTTACCCAAGCTATGATTGACAGGAGACAGGGTAGTGGGAGACAGTTCTGCTGGAGAGCCTAAAACACAGGGAAAAAATGAAGATAGATATTGAAGGATGTCCAGAACTTCTAATTAAGTAATAATAAAACTGGTTTTATCTGGCTGCAGTTATCATAAATAATACACAGGTAACTTAAATCCCAAGAGTTCAAAATACACTCCATTTTAGTTTAATTTGGGGAGCTTCAATATATAAAAGGTACAAAAGGGTATAAGCAGTCTTGTCTTCTCACCACCCAGTTCCCCTCCCAAATGAATCCACTATTGAGGTTCTTGTATAGCTTTCCAAAATATTCTATGAACCAAATATAAACAAATATATTTCTTTTGTGTCTTCTTTATATGCAAATGGCAACCGTTCTGAAATTCTGTATTACTTATTTATTCTATCAAAACCTGTTCATATTGATGTTTCCCTACTACTTGTCTGTCTATCATTTAGTGGCTTAATATTATATCACAATACATTATGATTACATAATGGTGTATATTTAGGCTACTTCTGATTTTTGGTTTTAAGTCATTGCAAGACTGCAATGAGTAATCTTATACAACCATATCTGAAAGATACTTTTAACAGAGAACCTGCCAGGTCAAAGGGCTTGTGAATTTGTAATCTTGATAGATTTTTGTAAAATTATTATTCCCAGAGGTTATACCACTTTATATTCCCTGTAACAACACAAATGGTGAGAAGATGCCCATAGTGCAACCAGTAACAATCAAAACATGGTCTTATCAAGTATAGTTTTTAATTCATATTTCTCTCATAAGTGACACAAAAAAAGCTTTACTCTCCTTTACTTGTATTTCCTTTTTTTGTGAGTCTGTTCTTTTCTTTTGCCCATTTTCTTAACTGATTTGCGGCAGGCTCTTTATGTACTGAGATACAAATATTTAGCTACCTGTCTTATAACTCAGTTCCAATTCTAACCATGAAGCACTTACTGAGGTTCAAGTCACCATTTAATAAAAGAGTAGTGAGAATGGGCATTTTTATCTTCCTCTTTTTGTAATGCTTCTAGTATTCTGCTACTAAGCACAACTGGCTTTTAAGCTGAGAAATAAAATTTCTTATTCAAGACTCTGCACTGATGGTTTCAAGCTAGACTGATGAGTATTATTTTCCGAGTGATGTTGTAAGGGTCTGTGATCAATGTTATGACAATTTAGAAGCTTTGTCTTTTTCTATGCTTTGTACCAGCTGAAAAGTTGTGTTTTAACAGCACATTCTTTAAAAGTTTAGTAAAATGTTAACTGACAATTTTCTAGGGTTTACTTAGAGGTTTCTCTATTTCTTCTATGAAAGTTGTTTTGTTTCTTAGGATAAGTTTTATTAAATTCTGTTTTCTTAGAAAATTATCCAATGCATCCTGTTGTAAGTAAACAATGTAATCTAGAAGCACATAAATACACAAAGTAAGAAAATCAACAAGACAGACAACAGAAGAAAAAAATTAACACCATTTCACTCAATACCATGCCACTAAATTTTAAAGCACGTTATATTTGCCAAATAATCTTATTATAATTACAAACACAGGACAGATTTTATGATTACCATTCTTTCAACATTTAGGGAAGGTTATCAAGAGCATGGCCTCCATATAGCTCCCAAGCTTCAAATGCACATTACGGCACACATGTAGAATAAGGGAGGTCTGACCACTTTATGTACCTCTCTGACATATACCACTACAACCAAACATAAAATGTCAGATAACAAAGGTGAAATGGCAGCCCCCAGATAAACAGACAAATCAGAAAAAGAAAACAGGTGATGAGTATTTTTTAAGATGACAGAATGCTCTCCTGTAACACAATTAAGTTATGTTCTTTCTTTGTTCCTTAGTTTAAAAAATCTGTTGGCAAGTCACAACAGGTATAACTAAGAAAGGTCAAAACATATTTAGAACAATGAACTAAAATTCAATGCTGTTTCCTGAAGCAGATATAAAATAAACAAAGCTACTATTAGAAATGAAGGAAACTGCCCAATTATCCGTATCTTTTAACTGTTTACTCCTCGAATAAATACTCATTAGAAATGACCAGTAGGGCCAGGAGTTGAGTAAGATCTGACAAATTACAAAAAGGTACAGTATAAAAATTTTAAAGAAGCAAACACTTTATTAGTTAACAGAAGTTTAAATAACTCATAACTAACCTATGGATTATTCATATATAAAATGCTGCTGCTAAAATCTGGCCTACCACAGGCCTTCTAGTTATGAACGATAATAAACATTCTTACTCTTATTATTATTCATCCAATTCACACCAGCAGGGTCTGCTATTTGCAGCTAAAACATCTTAAGAGAAATTCTTGGCATGTATCCATCACATCCAAGTTCACATTTTTGTAGGATACATTTTTCAAAGAGGGATTAGATACTTTTATAACCAAGTGCTGCAGTACCCTCCAAAAATGTTTAGTCTCACCAAGAACTTACGGGCTAGTATTTCTTTGCATTGTCACTACAGGCTGATGCCTATCATTTAACAAGTTTAAAAGAGGCGACTCTTTATCCTTCTTAATTCTATTTTTGATGCAAAACTGGTACAATCATATTCTTTTTATCCATTGTTTCCACCAGCTACTGTCTTCCTCTTGATGTGTAAGTTTTTAAATTTAGAAAGCAGTTCTTAGAACTGTCAGGCATTTGTAAATATTTCTCTGTTTTTTGGGGATCTGTTTTGGTATATGTTTCAAGATAAGATTAAATATATGCTCTTACATTAAAAATTTTTTATACTTTCAGGCTCACTGCAAAATTGAATTGAAAGTACAAAGATGTCCCATTTACCCCTGCCACCTCCTGCCCCTCACAATCTCAACTCACTATCAACATGCCCACACCATAAAAGTACGATTGTTCCAACCAATAAACCTGTGCTGATACGTCATTGCCATCACATCGAAAAGCCACAGCCCACACTATGCTCACACCGGGTGTTGTGTTTTCTATGGGTTAACAAGCATGGCAACCCACAGCTCCTGGAAGCACAGGATGGCTTCACTGCCTCGGGTTTCACCTAAGCGATCCTTTCTTCTCTGGAGCCACGACATTTTTACCATCTCCATACTTTTGCCTTTTCCAGAAGGTCATATAGTTGGAACCTTACAGTATATAATGTTTTCTGTGGCTTGAGAGTTCATTTCTTCTTCTCCTCGTACGTCTAGATGTACCATGATTTATGCATTTATTCACCTACTAAGGAAATCTTGCTGGCCTCCAAATTTTTTGGCAATTATGAATAAAGCTGCTATAAACAACCATAATCAGGCTTTTGTGTGAATATTAGGTTTTCAACTAATTTATGTAAAAAAACAAGGAGCAAGACTTCAGGATTGTATGTTAAGTATATGGTTAATTTCATCTAAGGCAAAAATAACAATTAACTTTTTTATGAAGTAAAATATAGGATAACAAGTAAGCACAAGAACCTGAATTCAAGCCACAATATGACATATATATATATATATATATATATATATATAAAATAACACAAATAGAGGAAAATGAATGGTATTACAGTGTCGTGAAGTTCTTATATTTTCTATGAAGCTGTAAAATATTACAACTTAAGTAAAAGTAGCCTTTTGGGTAAGAGATGCTAAGAACAATACAATCACTAGAACACCTTCTAAGAAAATAACATGAAATGTTATTGCTAAGTCGAAAGAGAACAGAATGGAATAAAACTTTAATCTACAGCAGGAAAACAGAATAGGAACAAAAAACAGGACAAACAGAAAATAAATAGCATAATGGTAACCTAAATTTAATGATATCAGTAATTACTTTAAATATAAGTGAACTAAAATTCCCAATTAAAAGGTGAAGATTAGATTGAATAAAGTACATAATGCTGTCCACAATAAACATACCTTGACTATACAGATGCAGACAGACTGAAGGTGAAAGTATGAAAAAAAAAACACCATGTAATCATGAGATAAGAAAGATACAGGAATGTTAACACAAGATTTCATAATCAGGATCAACTTATTAGGGAGACATAGTAATTCTTAATGTGTACATCTAATAACAGACATTCTTTTTAACTATATATGAAACTCTCACTAAAAAAAGCCTGTAATCCCAGCTACTCAGGAGGTAGAGATTAGGAGGGTCATGGTTTGAGGCCAGTCCAGGCAAAAAGTTGGCAAGATCCCCATCTCAATAAATAACTTAAGTGTGGTGGTACCTACCTTTAATCTCAGCTGCACAGGAGGTGAAGACAGGAAGATTGAGATCCAGGCCAGCCCTGGGCAAAAAGCATGAGACCCTATCCAAAGCAAAAAAGGGCTGGGGGCATAGCTCAAGTGGTAAAGCAAGCACTAGGCCCTGAGTTCAAACTCTTGTACCTCCAAAATAATAGTCACAATACAAAAAAAAAAAGCCACATGTTATGGCAGAAAATAACTTTTAGATAATTTCAATGGACTGAAATCATATATGGTATGTTCTGGACCATAACAAAACTACATTAAAAATCAATTAGGTTGTATGAAGAGACTTGACTGATTTTTTTTGATTCTTAAAATAATAGTGCTTTAAATGTAGAATTCAATATTTTATACTTTCTTTAATAAAATCAAAAGTATTTAAACTTGAGCTGACGTTTTTTCATGGATATTAAGGATGTAGCATTTGAAGGTTTTCTTTTACTTACATTTTTTACTTAGAAAAGAAAACTTTTTGGGTTGGATGTGATATAACTCAATGGTAGAATGCTTGCCTAGCATGCACAAGGCCCTGGGTTCAATACCCAGCACTGTAAAAATACATATGTATATTTTAAAAAAATTATCTCTTGTAATGTTGCTGTACTAAGGTGTGTCTTTAAAGAGTTTAATACTTGCACAAATGTCATGGCAGTGTAAAAGGTACGTTACCAAAATAAATGTTAATTTTTGTGATAACAAAGTTAAAAAAAAAAATCAATTAGGTGTTTAGAATAGCTCTACAAAAATTTTTTTTAAAAAACAAACTTTTAAATAACTAATGGG